GGGAAGAAAAGGAAAGGGATTAAGGGAAGGAGGGAAGGAAGGATGGAAAGAGGGAAGAAAAGGGAGTAAGGGAAGGAGGGAAGGAAGGATGGAAAGAGGGAAGGAAAGGGAGTAAGGGAAGGAAGGAGGGACAGGAGAAAAGGAGAAAAGGGAAGGAGGGGGGGAAGGATGAAAAGAGGAAGGAAGGAAGGGGAGAAAGAAAGGAAGATCCGCATTTCCCCTGTCATTTCCTTGAACGAGACCCCCCACCACCTCAGCTCTTCAACGGGGATTTTGTGGACCGGGGGTCCTTCTCGGTGGAGGTGATCCTCACCCTCTTCGGATTCAAGCTGCTCTACCCCGACCATTTCCACTTACTCCGAGGTCAGCCTCGCCTCCCCCACAGACTGGCAGGGGCGGGAGGGGAGGGGGCGGCCCCCTCCCTCGCCGCTCCGGCCTCCTTTGCCACCCCTTGTGCCTCCCGATTCCTCTCCCCCTCCAGGGAACCACGAAACGGACAACATGAACCAGATCTACGGCTTCGAGGGCGAGGTGAAAGCCAAGTACACGGCCCAGATGTTCGAGCTCTTCAGCGAAGTCTTTGAGTGGCTCCCCTTGGTGCACTGCATCAATGGGAAAGTCTTGGTAAGGGGGCTCCGGGGCGCGGGGGGAGGAAGAGGCCAGGGCTGGCTTGGCAGAAGAAGCCAAGAGGGGAGCCCGGGGGAGACGTCGGCTGGCGGCCCCCACCTCTCTGACATTGGGGCTCCTCTCCCCCCCCCCCCTCCGCCAGATAATGCATGGTGGACTCTTCAGTGAAGACGGCGTCATGTTAGACGATATCAGGAAGATTGAGAGGAATCGTCAACCTCCAGACTCAGGTGAGCAGAAGACCTGATGGGGAGGGAGACGGGGGGAGGGGGGTGTCTCTCCGGAGAAGGTGCTTCCCGCTCAGGTGGGCCTCCCGTCGGCCTAAAGAAGCCAACTTTGGCTCAACGTTCCCCAACTCACCGCCTTTCCAGCCCCTTCGGATCACACCTCCCATGTTGCACGACCGGCCTGGGTGTTGTCTAAGATCTCCGGAGGTGGAGGAAGCCTTTGAACTTTTATCACTGGGGGAGGGGGGTGTTTGTGGGTCCCTACCTNATATGCTGACTCTGTAAACCGCTTAGAGAGGGCTGAAAGCCCTATGAAGCGGTATATAAGTCTAACTGCTATTGCAATCTATCTATCTATCTATCTATCTATCTATCTATCTATCTATCTCTGTCTGTCTTTCTGTCTATCTATCTATCAGATTGTTGGGGGTGATATGCTGACTCTGTAAACCGCTTAGAGAGGGCTGAAAGCCCTATGAAGCGGTAGATAAGTCTAACTATTGCTTGCTAAGTCAAGCTTGGTGCCCACCTTGGGGGAGAGGGGGAGACCCCTGGAAGTGTGCGGCTTCTCCCAGCCTTTCCTTGCCAGCTCCTTTGCTCACCTGAGTCCTCCCCCCCCCCCTTACACCCCCCCCAACTTTTCTCCAGCCATTGAGGACGAGTACAGTGGTCCGAAACTGGAGGACGGGAAGGTGACCTTGGATTTCATGAAGGAACTGATGCAGTGGTACAAGGAACAGAAGAAGCTCCACCGGAAATGTGCATATCAGGTAGCCTCCTCCTCCTCCTCCTCCTCCCCTTCTACAGGTGGTCCTCCACTTACGACCTCTGCCAGGGACCCGAATGTCAGGGCAGCCATGAAACCAGTGATTTCCCCTGACTCCATTTTGCGACAGGGCGCGGCTGCGGTAATGCCTTCAGAATGGGCCGTGATCGAAATTGCAGCGGGGATGGGTGTTGCGGCCGTCGTAAAGGCCGAGGACGAATTGCAAATCACGGCTTCCGAGGCCGTGGTCCCCTTGAACCCGTGTTTCTCAACCTTGGCCACTTGAAGACGTCTGGACTTGCAACTCCCAGAATTCCCCAGCCAGCGAATGCTGGCTGGGGAATTCTGGGAGTTGCAAGTCCAGACGTCTTCAAGTGGCCAAGGTTGAGAAACACTGCCTTGAACTGTGGCTGAAACGGATGGTCGTAAGTCAAGGACGGGAAAGGCCTCCCTTTCCAGCCCAGGATATTTCGTTTGCCTTTCCTGCCTGCCTTGTCAATCACTCCTCTTGTCCTTCCTGCAGATTCTGGTCCAGGTGAAAGAGGTGCTATCAAAACTCCCTACCCTTGTAGAAACCACGTTAAAAGAGGTAAGGGGTTCTTTCTACCTGGGGTAGTGGGTTTTTTTTCCCCCCGAAACAAGGTTTTTTAAAATTCTTTGTTACATATTTAACTTCTTTTATCAACAGAGTGTTGTTGCATCTTCTCATAGGCATAATTCCTTAATTCCATCGTATTTCCATTTCCAGTTTCAGCCATATTATTTTCTTTAAATAGTTTCCATCTTAGATTTAATTTCTTCTCAATAAAGACCGTATTTTTCGGAGTATTAGACGCACCTTTTCCCCTCAAAAAAAGAGGCTGAAAATCTGGGTGCGTCTTATACACTGAATACAGCATTTTTGGCCTCCCGAAACCCTGCCCCCTTGTCCCCACCAGTTATAAACAGTAACAAGAGTTGTGGAAGGGACCTTGGAGGTCATCTATTCCAACCCCCCTGCTCGAGCAAAAGACCGGTACTAGGGATTCGAACCCCCGAACTGCCGACCTTTTTGATTGACACGCACTATCTCTTAGCCACTAGTCAGGTTATCTCCACTGGTTCATCCCAATTCTGTCTGCTTCCTTTGATCTCGCCTACCTGTCCCACAGCTGCCGCCCCCCCCCCCCAAGGGCCTTCCCTTTCCCGAAGCGAACCAGAAACAACCAGCCGTCTCGGCCCCCTTTCCAAGGAACTCATTAACCTCTTTGGAGAGTGCTGGGGACAGGGACAGGTGTCCCTGTAATTAAGTCAGGTGGATCAGTATCACTGTGACGCACAGGTGCGCCTGCTGGGCCTGGCTGAGGTGACACAGGTGAGCCTCTGCTGAGCTTGCCCCAAATTCCGCGGCTTTCTTCTTATCTGCCTGAAATTGGGGTCATTTTCGTCTGACGAAGCCGAGCGGAGCCTTTGATGTCTGCCTGGAAGCGCCAGAGAGCTCTTTCCCGCGTCCCTTTATGGATTCGCTCGGGGCATGGAGTCTCTCCGTCAAACCACGAGAGGCGAGCAGAATTATCCCGGCGATAAAAAACAATAACAACCAGGCTCCTATCTGACTCATCTTTATGACCTCTGCTGACTGGCTGTCTTCTTCCTTCCCCTTTCATCCAGACGGAGAAAATTACCGTCTGCGGAGACACCCACGGACAATACTACGACCTCCTGAACATATTCGAGCTGAACGGGCTGCCCTCGGAAGATAATCCATATGTATCTTTTGGGGGGGTCATTGGGGGAGGGGGCTTGTTGGGGAGGCTGGAGGCTTCTTGGGAGAAGGAAGGAAGGGAAGGAGGGAAGGGAAGGGAGGGAGGAAAGGAAGGGAAAGAAGGAGGAGTAAGGGAAGGCAGGAAGGGGAGGGAAGAAAGGATGGAAAGAGGAAGGAAAGGAGGACAGCCAGTCAGCAGAGGTCATAAAGATGAGTCAGATAGGAG